TTCTATTTTACTCTCATTTTAAAAAAATAATTATAATATATATTAAATAAGAAGTCTTGTTTAAATAATACTTAATTAGGGATAAACATGAAATTTTATCAATAAATTATTATATCAATAAATTTGTTATCTTATATAAGTGAAGATGCTTTAACAAGATTCATTATAAGCGAATGAGAAAATATTGTCTATGGTACCCTTTTTTAGATGTAATAGTTAAAATATTAAATTTTTATTAATATTATTGAAATAAATTACTATAAAATTAAAAAAATAATAATCAAAATTCTCTCCACATAATTTTCTCAATATTTTTTCATCATTAGAGATAAATGTATTTTGTTCAAATCCAAATCACTCAATATTTAAAATAATTTTTTGAATAATTTAGTTAAAATTTTAATTAATTGAAATATTTCAATTTTCATTAAAGATAAAAGATTTTTTTCTTAAAAAGATTAAAAAAATTTGTTGATTGAACGAACCATACTAAAAAGAATAAAATTTTTGGTAATTAAAATTAAAATTTTGAATTAGATTCAATTATAAAAATAAAAATCATTAATAAAAATAATAAAAGGCTAGAGATAGTTTCGTTCCTTTTTAAAATTTAAATATTTATTTAATTAAAATTAATGAATATTAAATATTTTAATTATTTGCCAAAAGGGTATTGTAGACCTTTTAAAAAAATTCTAATACACTTACTAGAAATTTAGTTAGAGTAATTGTAATTATATAAAATTTGAAATTCCGCCTTACTTAATTTAAAGGAAAAGTTTGATGGATTCACTACAAAGAAATTTTCAAATAATATTATTCATAAAGTTAAAACAATAATAATAATAATAATAATAGCCACATCATCTAACACAGAAGATGTAATTTGTCACAATTTCAGAGCTTAAAGGCAGATTTTCCACAAAATAAAGTTTAGAGTTAAATCATCCACAATCGACAAGTTTATAATTCTTATTTTTTGTTCTTCTTTTTGTTATTTTCTAGTTTATTGATCTGTTGGATACGTTAAATGATGATGATAGGAAGATTAGAAAATGGACATGCTAAAATAGATGAGGATAAAATAAAAGATTAATTGAATTATTATATTTAAATTATTAACCATGATTATTTTCAACAATTATTTCTTTAATGGTAGTTAAATTTTTTTTTTTCAAACATTTCATCTTTATTCAAACCTATTTAATTTATATTTTGATCTATACACTTTGCATACATATCAAATATTCTGGATTAATTTGTGATTAAAAAAAATTGCAAAATGTAATTTATTAATTAGTGGCTTAAAAATTTCACTCCAAATCCTCGTAAATTGACTCAGTCGGTGAATTTCAAACTCATGGGCATTCTATTATTAAGTTCAAGTTTCGCAAAATGTAAATATTGTTATATATAAGTCTCAATTGTAACATATGGTTAACTTAATTTTGGATTTTGTAATTTCTTCTTAATTATCATAAACTTTCTTTACAAAAATAAAAAAAATATATTATATAATCAAAACTGCACCAAATTAGACAATTTAAATTATTAGAAAGTGAATCCTCTAATAGTAGAGGCACCATTCCATTTAAGGGTTACTGTTTTGCTGGTAAACCCCTCACCCCAATAACAATTCGGACTCTACTACAGGAAAATGGGTGAGGCAAGAGCGCAAGAGTATGTGTTACTTTCCTCAATCGAACTGTAATCCCCAATATAAGGTGCATAGGTCCAACTCCATTCAGCAATTTGTGTGCTTTTTTGCTTGGTTAGGCAGCTAAAATTCTCTTTTTAGCCGCTGGAGTTTAGGAGAAGTTTTTTTTTTAATCAACGTTTAGGAGAAGTATTGTTCTTTTTACTGTTTTGGTTGCCGAAGCTATAATTTGAGAATGCTTATATGTTTCTAGATGTGTTTTGAAGGCTGAATTTGATTACTGGTGTGTCAGGACAATTGGGAATGGAAGATTTGTAACTTTTTGGGTTGTGTGCAATAGGTGTTTGAGGAAATGCCTGTAAGGGGTTGCTGGGTTTTGTTGAGATGGATACATTACTATATATGACTTTAGTTTTGGCTGGAGATGTTCTCTGCTTAAGAAATCACTCGAATTAAAAGTAATTCAATCTAAGGTAAGGAAGAGGAGAACCCGTGTATAATCTTGCTGGTGGAATTTGTTTTGGTTTATCTGGAGATTTAGGGGGTGGATAATTTGTTGAAGTAATCAATTATTATTCCTAAGCAATTTAGAAGCATTCAGTTGTACCTAAACTTAACCCTTTATAAATTCGGCCTCGTAGTGACAGCCAAATAACTGATTATTAAAACCAGTATAACCACATTATATTGCACGTTTTCCCTTGGCTTTCCAAGGGTTGACGTTCGGAAGCAGTTTTTGAGTTTTCGTTTGAAAATGTTTTTTCTGGTGTTTTAATTTTTAATTTTAATGTTTACGTACTATTTTTTTTTTTATTTTGATTGCACAATGATATGCAACCTTTCGCTATTTCTTATTTCATCATATTCACATGCTACGCAATTTGAATTCAAAATTTTTTATTTTTAATAAAAAAAAATTACTATTGAATTATTTAAATAATTGATAATTTCTTCTTATTATTTATTAAAAATATATATAATATTAATTAAAATAAATATTAAATATATTAAAAGCATTTTAATATATTTTTTAAGATATTAAAAAATTAAAAAATTTACAACTACAATCATAATTCAGTACTCCCAAATGAAGCCTAATTCTAAGGTAGAAACTTCCTGAGACGAAATTGTTACCAAATATTTACAGCCATAGCTGGCTTCACACAATTAATCTGACCACTTCCTGAGAAAGTGGTCAATCACAACACCAAGCAAAGACTATTATATTAAAAAAAATAAACGAGACAAAAAGTAAAAGTAAAAGTTTACCAGAGTAAATTTTTGCTACTTAATGAAATAGTAAAAATACTTAAAAGTGGAAAACTTTTAATTTAAGGGTATTATGGATTACCTTTTTCTTCAAAATTGGTCCTAACCTTCCTCGAATCAGATTTTGACGCTGTATATTGCTCCTCAATAGAGTTCTGTACAGAATATTTAATAAGAACATAATAATTATTATTTTTTGAATAAAATTAAATTTCAATTATTGAAATAGTTATCAAAATATTAAAAGAAAAAGACAAAATAAAATTGTTCAATATGAGAAAAAAGTTAACAAAATAAAGGATATTTGGGGTTGATTATGGATTAAAATGTAATCTTTTTGTGTTATGTGATGTAATGGAGCATGTGGTCCAAGCTTATAGGAGAGGGTTGGTAAGGGAGAGTATGGGTTTAAACTCTCGACACAAGAGTGTGGAAGACTTTTATATTAATGACGAAATCACTTCAATCAGTAAGACTTCACAATTCAATTATGATCATGATAGGTAAATTAATTAATGGAATTTTGATAGATAAACCAAAATACATTTTTGTTGAGTTTTCTAAGTAAATTTAAAGGAAAATGGACACTAATTGATATATTATTCAGTTTAATATATTGCATAAGATAATAAATTTATTAAAAAATTATTATTATTTATTTAAAATTAAAAACAAACAAATTTAAAAATACAACTATGCATACAACATGTAGAACTGATTGAATTAGTTTTTTTATATTATATTTTAAAGACTAAACTAAACAAGTGTTTAATAGTATGTTGAATTAGAATGCATAACAATCATTTTCTTAATGGTAAAGGATTGCAAAAAATTTACGTGTGCTCCCAATTAAAATGTATGAAAACTTTGGGGTGGTGTTTCTGAAGTTGGGCCTTCAAATTTTTTTTTTTTTAAAGTCAAGACTAATATATAGTATTCTCTAAAAATAATATCTATTTTTATTTGTTTTAAAATAATAAATTAATAAAATACAATTAATAAGTTCTTAATCTACGCTTGTGACACAAATTAAGAAAATACTATATATTTAAATCTCAGTTTCCTCAAGAGTGATGAACCTAATATGAGAGAATCATAAAAGTTAACAATACAGAATAAAATTAATGCTCCAATTCATATATGGAAAATGATGTGTGCACACCCGGATTCAACACTCGAGTGTGCACATTCCGCATAAAAATAAAAAAAAAGGAAACACCCGGTTCATTTTTTTTTTTTATGTGGAGGGCACACACCCGGGTGTTGAATCCGGGTATGCACCAATCACGGTCCATCCCTATATATATATATATATATATATGACAAGATTAGTTTAACAAAAAGAGCAAAGAATCAAAGCTATATGTAGCACCAGAGAATACTCACCAATTGGCAGAAGCACAAGAATGAATTAAGGAAAAAATTTTGCAGCGAGAGGAGAGAATTAGTTATATGATATCATATAGGAAATCATGCTTGCAAGAATATATATATATATAGAGAGAGAGAGACGAAAACGCTACTATTATGTATTCTTTGCTTCTTCTTTTTCTTTTTCTTCTTCTTTTTTTTTTTTTGCGTATATGGAGTTATGCTCTAAGCACTAGTGAAGCTCTAGGCTTGCATATTCCTAAACGATCATATTGTTGAGATTTGCTCGATCTGTTTCTGGGGGCCTTTACTTTGCTTCTTTAAAGAAAGACATAGAAGCATATATATCTTTATTGTGGGTGTTATATACCGTTGATTCTGTCCTATGATTGGAGCAAGTGGAAGTGTAAAGAGCATTAGAAGAATATTAAATGCAATCTGAGTCGCATAAAAGGTTGCACTATATGTAACTTGCTCGTTCCATGAGTGTCATTTAGGCAAGGGACAATTAATGCAGCTTGGGTAAGGAGTGAATCCTTCACAATACATATTAAGTGGGAAGTAATCCAACTTTCTTTCTTTTTAAACAATGGTAAATGCCAAAAATTGAGGGACAATTGGACAAAAACAAATGAATCAACAAATATTAAGTGAAAGAAGAGCAGAGGGTATACTTGTTCAGTTTGGTTTTCTTTTTTCGATCGGTAGTAAATTAATTTTATTACAAAGTGAACAATATCATACAACATAATTCACACCCTACATAACTTGGGGATGTATATCAATGATATAAGGGATAGGGTGTGCTCTAGTCATATGATTCAAATTCTTAGCCAAAGTAGTAATAGTTGAAGATACTAAATTCTGTACCCATTTTCAAACCTTCCTTTTCCTTCCATGGAGCTAGAATTTTATGTGAGAATTTATAAATATAAATATAAATAAAACACAAATTAGATTCTAAACATCCTACTTAAATAATTAAATAATGAAATCATGTACCTTTTTTGGAAGCCATTGATCTATAAGCCTGCAAAAGAAACAAACGGAAAGAAACAAACAAAATAATTAAAGGCTAAATCTTTCTCTCCATATTCAATTTCTGTATAATAACAACCAATGAGTCATGTCACTTCATAATTCTACTATTTATAAATGTAAGGTTTTCTGAATGGGAGAGGAGATTTAGTCCTTTTATAATAATATTTTGAACACCTCCATCAAGTAGCCCATCTTTTAATTCAAGACTATACACCCTATTCATATCACACTATATAAAATTGAGATAAAATCTAGATCCACTTGGATTATATAACTTTATTAGGCGTTATTGGTTTTCCATTTGACTTATTTTTAAGAAAAACTAAGTTCAATTAGTAGAAACCACCACAAAAATTTTCTAACATTTTATAGCTGATGAAGTAGATACCAATGTAGAAATTGATTCAGGGGATGGAGAACTAATTGCTTAGCATACTCAATAATTGGATTTCTTCTTGGAATTAGTCCCCTTCTGCTTCATCTCAAGACAATCTGTAATAGTATGTCTAGATTGTTTGCAATAAACACAAGTATTTTTCTCCTTGCAATGAGATGCAACATGAAATTGTTGGCATTCAAAGAATTGCACTTTAGAA